GATCCTTAAGTCGGTTGATCTCCCTTTCTTCTATTCTACGACCTTTCCCCTTCAGATCCGGGCAGGTTCGGGTTCGTCAACTTTACTTGAATCCGGAAATGTGCTTCCCATTAAGGCAAGTGATGCTTGTTCGTGTTCATTCAGTACATTCGTTCATGTGCTAGTCGGCTACTCCCTTTGTTCTAGTTAATATGACTGCGTTTGGCTTTGTATGGAGTGTAAGATATTGATTTGACTTGTAGTGATAAAGAAAAAAATGTACTCCAGAATGGTTGAAGAATTAGTTTGATAGAAAAAAGTACTTTAAAGGTTACATTTTAATAGATTAATGAATTTGAATTAGGAAATTGTTTTAAAATTAGAGTTATGTCAATCATTTGGCAGTGTTGCAAATGGATTGTCGTAGGGATAGTAGTTGGTGGTAGTTTTAACTCATGGTTTCTTTCTGTTATTTACATAGATTCATAGGGATGAAGAGACTGGGAAGATATTGAATTTGGTCTTCGTATGGGCGGAAGAGGGAACAAAATTAAAGGTGGACGTTCCTGTTGTATTCAAAGGGGAGGAAGAGTGCCCTGGTCTCAAGAAAGGTTTAGTCTTTTTCTTCTCCCTGTATCTCCATGTTTTATTTTCTCCATAATTCCTTTCCACTTTGCTTATGGACAAGCGTATTGTTCTGAGAAAGGTCAATCATTTGTAATTAGTAGGACCTATCTCATTTCGGAAACTGTTTTTTGAAATACTCTAGTGTGTCATTTGTAGACTGATGAAAAAGAAAAATGGTGAAGCATGCTTGTTAGAATTCTTTCACAACACTATTTTTTATATATGTAGTTGTTTGCCAATTGTTTCTGTGAAACCAACTAATCAATTACACCTCAATCTCAAATTAGTCGTAATTTAAACCGTCAAACAATGATTATTATCGAACAAGAGTGACATATTGTAACATTTTGAGTTTGTAACTATATATATGAGCTTCTGTATATATGCGGTAGTTTGCTAAAGTATTGCCAATTATTATCAGAAACACCTATGGGCTCATTTGAACCTGCAAAGCCAGCATGTCCAAACATCCAAGAACTCCTATTTCCTTTTCTGACCAAGGAAGATCATTTGAAAGAGAGTATTTTTACTGTTTTCTTTGTTAATAACCTTATGAGGTAATATTACCGTGGAAGAGCATACTCAGGTAAACTGAGGAATTTAATTACTCTGCAACCTCATGGCATATATGCTGTCTTGAAGGGTATCGAGGGGAGTATTTCATTTAATCCATTGAGATATTAACTGCATTTAGCAAACAGCTTAAAACATTGAACTTAAATATCAAAGGAAGCAGATGGTCTCTACAAGTTTAATACTCCTATAAAGAAAACACGTATAACATTCTTATAAAGAAAACAAGTATAACACTCTACTGTATTTGTCTAATTCCAAACTCCTGTTCTGGCGTTAGTAAGCTCCTATCTTTGTATCCTTGGAACATAATAAGAGGAACTCCTAAATATGTGAACGAGAATTTTCCAAGTAGTTCACCTAAGATACTGCAAAGCCTGAACTTTCTCTAATAGAAACCCATGATAAGCTAAATTTGGCTTAAACCTAGATATGTTACCAAAGCTGTTTTGTATATGCTTTCTCCAAAAACATGCCTTCTCAATAACTGCATGTGGAAGGGTTATCCTGTTTAATGAGATTAACTTTTCTGTCCAAATTCTGTGAAGTAACTGCCTTCTTAAGTTATATACTACTTGTTGTCTTGACATTCGAAAGTGGAAACTAATGGCAATTCTTTGTTCGAAATATTATGGTACCATCATTTTCTTAGTTTCTTTGACGTGCTATTTTTGTTATTTTGTCAATTGTTACAAATACACTCTACCCTCCCCAGACCCCACTTGTGGGACTACGCTGGGTATGTTGTTGTTGTCAATTGTTACAAATGTTAATAGGGAGCTGTAATGCATAGATTGTCTTGGACTAGATTACTATTGCTCTTTGATATGCTTTGAAACAGTGCTGTGCTGCCTTTTGCATTACTCCATGAGATAATCCGGCATGCAGATGATTATTGCAATTTCAAAGAAGATGATTATTATCTTTTAATGTGAAAGCAGGTGGCTCTTTAAACAAGATAAGACCTACTCTAAGGTTCTTGTGCCCAGCTGAGCATATACCTCAAAAAATTGAGGTTGATGTAAGTCAGCTTGATGTTGAAGACAAAGTGTCCCTGCATGATATCGATCTTCATCCGACGTGGAAGCTCTTAAGCAAGAATGAGGCGATCCCTGTTTGTAAGATTAAGGCAACTTCAATTGATAGCTAATTTTGTCGAAGCTATTGTGCAACTACTGCAAGAGGCATTTGAAGTCCATTAGTTCAACAAGGTTTGTTCTAATTTGACCAAGCTTTGTAGGTTGAGTACTGTATATGGTGCTTGGTCAAATGAAATTTGAAGCTTTTGCTATACTGCAGTAAATTGTTTTTTTATAGGGACTTGTTCTAGAATAATAAACTTGTGCGTTAAAGAGTAAATGGCAACTGGAACTGCAGTCTTTTTAAGTTTTTTGCATCAAATAATTTTCAAGTCCACTGCGGAGGGAATCACACATTGATACAACTTTAGTCACCGGTGGTGTGCGACATGAGTTCATTTGTTTCTAAGCAGGAATCGCGCTCTTATTGTTAGAGGATACTATGTTGAAATTTGATAGTCTTATATGACTTATTCTAAAATCGAATTTCCCCAAATAAAGAAATATATCCTTTCATCTAACCACCGGATGACCGGAAGACCTGGCAACTAATCAGTTTTGCTGCATAGAATGAACGGGTCAGCACGATGAAGGGAGTGAGTTGACTGCTGGGCTGAACTAAGGGGTCGTGGTTACAAGGATAAAAGGATTATAATTTTGAGATAAAATGTGAGATTATTTTATTTTCTGTTTGGTAGAATTTTTGTTCTAGAATTATCAATTCCGGGCTTGTTTATTCCAAATTATGGTGTTATTTTTGGTACCATATTTTAAGTGGTCTAACAATTCCAGGATTACTATTCCCAAGATAAAACAACATGATACTTTTGCCCTTTTCCAAATATTTTTCTTCCAAAGTCTTTTTAAAGTCAAGGTTAAAATTGAACATAAAAATTTATTTAGGTTCATCTAGTTTAAAGCAAACTCATATTTTATGTTATACTCCGTATGTTTTATTTTTAGTCCAAAAGGATTAAACATCTATTAATAAAAAATTTAATACCCTCAAACTCGCTTAAACTATATAATCTTTGTCAGTTTCCTAAATAAATTATCGTCTGTCCCCGAAAACCTCCTGAGCTATATCCCCCTTCATAATACCCCCCTCCCCACCCCCCGACAACAACTAAGAGGGGCAATTTGCAGCCGTACCCTATATTTATTCCACCTTTTAACCTATACCCTATTTTTAAAAATTATTGATTTCGTAACCAACTAACAAAAAATCCATAATAATATGACCATTATACCCTTCCAAAACATATAAAAGATGCATCAAGCATACCCAGATTCAAATTCCAAAACTCCTTCGTATCTCTTCCATTGCTCCGTCTCTCCTGAGATCGCCTCTCGCAAATCAGTTTTGAACCAAATTCAAATTCCAAATTCAAAATTACAAAATACATTGCAAGTATTCAAATTCATCTTCAGAATTCAAAATAATTTTGATTGATTGAAGTTGTTTGACGAACTTCACTGATATGCTGAATTTGCATTCTAAATCTGTTTGACGTTGAATTCTAACATTCTAATCCGACAAATATGCTGAAAGTTTTGGTTTATTTGCTAAACAAGCTGAAGTTATTTAGTTCATATCTAAAAAATTCAGCAAAATGAGCTGGCAAATAACACAACGAAGAAAAAATTATATTAAAACATTATATGAGTGTTATCGTTGTTTATTTGCTAAACAATCTGAAGTTATTTAGTTCATATTTAAAAAATTCAGCAAAACAAGCTGAAGTTTTCCTCCTACACTAGTTAAAAAATAAAACATAAATTAAAATTTCACATTGCTCAAAAACTTAAGCATTAGTTGCTGAAGTTTTTTACGTAATCTTTAAAAACTTCAGCAATATGAGCTGAAGTTTTCCTCCTACACTGGGTAAAAAAAACATAAATTAAAATTACATATTTCACAAAAAACTTCAGCATAGGTGTTGAAGTTTTTTAGTTAATATTTAAAAATTTCAGCAGGAAGAGCTGAAGTTTTCCTATTACACTGGGTAAAAAAAATAAAACATAAATTAAAATTATATATTGCACAAAAAACTTCAGCATAGGTGCTGAAGTTTTTCAGTTAATCTTTAAAAACTTCAGCAAGAAGAGCTGAAGTTTTCCTCCTGCACTGCATAAAAGATAAAACATAAATTAAAATTTCATATTGCACAAAAACTTCAGCACAGGTGCTGAAGTTTTTTAGTTAATCTGTAAAATTTCAGCAAGAAAAGCTAAAGTTTTCCTCCTACACTATGTATTTTATTATCATTTGTTGGAAAAATTTCATACCAAAAAATGCTTATGTTTTCAGGAATATTTTAAACATTTTTCATATAAATTTTTGTATGCTGAAGTTTTTTTTAGTTCATCTGCTAAAAATGCTTAATATTTTGTCGTGCAATATGTAATTTTAAGATAAGTTTTTGTTAATTGCTCTGTTATTTTTTAAGTTTAAATAGAATTTTTAGTTCATGCTTGAAAACTCAACAAAGGGAGCTGAAGTTTTCATCAAGCACTGTGTATTTTATTATGATTTTTTGGAAAAACTTCATACCAAAAAATGCTTAATTTTCGGATTAGTTTTTGTTAATTCCTGCTGAAGTTGTTTAGTTCATTTCCTCTCCTATTTTTCGAGTTTGAATAGAATTAATATTAAAAAAACGCACAAAAAACTTAAAATAAAAACTGAATATTTCATTAAACATTAAAAAGGATAAATTAAATTACATAAATAACAAAATAAGATTAAAAAAAAAAACTAATCGTCCATATCATCATCATCATCATCGTCGTCACTACCAGATGGACGAGCATCTTCATCAGCAAGATTATCAAATCTTGCATACATCACAAGCGTATCAAGCTTGTTGTTGATTTCTTCCAGCTCCTTGTCGTACTTGTCTATGAGCTCATCCAGTTTGAGCTCAAAAGCCTCTATAATGTCTTGCTTGATTTCTTCCACTATTTGACTGATGACAACATTCATTTTTCTCCTTTTTGTATTTTATGTCTGCTAAAATATATGTGTTTGAGTGAATAAACTCACAAGGTATAGCGTGCTTATATATGGGAAAAAAACTTCTGCATGGTATATGAAAAGGAAAAGAAGAATTTTAAACGTTGTCTAATGAAAAGCCTGCATGAATGTGACAGGAATGTAATTATTACACTAACACATACCCCCAACGCAATATAATTACTACTTTAATTGTATTTGTTATGTTTACTCCTGTATACTATGCAATTAATGCTGAAACATGCTCAAGTTTGTTGAATTCATTTGGTAAAACTTCAGCCCAATGTGCTGAAGTTATTTAATTCATTTCTAAAGCTTCAACACTTAATGAGCTGAAGTTGTTTTCCCTGCATTCATGAATCCCTGTCATACAGCTTTTTCAAAAAAACTTCAGCTGATATGCTGAAGTTATTACGCTTATTTCTAAAAATTTCAGCACTTAATAAGGTGAAGTTTTCTGTGCAGGATTCATTAATTATGTCATACATCTTTTTCCAAAAAACTTCAACAGAAGATGCTTAAGTGATTTAGTTCATTTGTAAAAACTTCAGCACAAACAACCTAAAAATTCTTCTGTTCACTTTCCTAATACTTGCCACTAAACATGAATTTGCAGGATGAGTTCGATTTGCGTTGTTATAACTTTCAATGGGGGGTGGACTTTTGATTTCAAATACTTGGATCATGATACAAAACTTGTTCTACTTAATAAGCACATATCATTCAATACTTTCCTGAAGAAAATTAGTGAAGTTGCAAATATTGATTCAACCATATATGCACTAAAAGTATGATTTGATATCAAACTAAATACAAGCAAAGGAATGCTTGTAACTTTAGATGAAGAACTCAGTACCTGTATATATTTTCTTACAACTGATTCAGCCTACAAGAATTGCCATTTCGCCATCGAAAAAATACAACCTTCAGAATCTGCAGCATTCAAACAATCTCTTGCATATTCGATAGATTCAGAACCTTTTGCTGATTATCAACATGAAGTAGGACAACCAATAATGGAAGTAGACAAAGAGCAACAACCTTCTAACATTACAGCTCCTTCAGAATATATAATGATGCAACAATTACCCCCTCCTCCAATAAATTCATACTAGTTTGTCGATGACTAAGAAGAAGGACAACTAATAATGCAAATTGACAACCAATATACAATCCAAGAAAGTTTTTTGTTATCTTCTGCAATGATAAGCAACAACGAAGATGAAGTAAACATGGAGCTTATACCGATAACATCAGATAGAATTGAAGAAATTGCTGAAACTTCTTATGCTTCTCAGAAATCAAGAAAAAGAGTGAGGAGAAAGCTGAAAGAATCTCCACTATGTAAAATACTTAGGCACGATGCGTTGCCTGAGGAAGTAAGAGTTGGATCAATTTTTGAGAACAAACAAAACATGACTAAATTTCTCTGCTGCTTGGAGATAAACTAGAAAGTTGAATTCACTGCTGTTAGATCATGTTCAAAGAGATACGAGCTGAAATGCATCGTGGACAAATGTGGTTGGAATGTACGTGCTACCAGAATAAAAAATTCCACGCTATTCAGGGTGATAAAATATCATAACTTCTATGAATGCTCGGTTGATGCAAGAAAATCATATCAGAAGCATGCTACATCAAATTTTATAAGTGAACAAATTATAGAACATGTTCGATACAAAAAGATAGAGGTTACACTAGCTTTTGTAGAAAATGAAATGAAAAAGAAATTTGGAATTGACATTGGTTATCACAAGGCATGGCGTGCTATTCAAAAAACTATTGCTTGCATAAGGGGAACACCTGGAGAGAACTACCAGATTCTTCCTTCATACCTACACATGATGGTGTGCAAAAACCCAGGAACGTACACAAGCATAAAAAGAGATGAGCAGAATAGGTAAGCAAAACAATACTAACCATCAGCCTGAAGTTTCAAATGTTCCTATTTGAAAAACTTCACACCTTATGATTTATTTTTGTGTGTTTTACTGTACAGATTTGCTTACATGTTCTTTGCTCCTGCGGCATCAGTAGCTGGTTGGTTCAACTGTAGACCCGTTATTGCAGTAGATGCAACGTTTTTATAGTCAAAATATCGTGGTGTTCTATTTGTTGTTGTATCAAAGGATGCAAACAATCAAATCTTTCCTCTATGCTTTGGTGTAGCAGATTCAGAAAACAATGAGACATACATTTGGTTCTTCAGGGAAATGAGAAAAGCAATTCAAGTCCGTCGTGAACTGGTTTTCTTGTCAGATAGAAACCAATCGATCGCAAATGGGATTAGA